AAAAAATGAAATAATCATTAAAAAATAAAACTAACAATGGAAGTTCATTTTTTTTTGTTAAAATATAAATATCATTCTGTATTATAACTGAAATGAATAATCGATTAAAAAATTTCCAGAAACATTTAAAAAAAGTCATAAAATTTCTTTTCCTCTCATTAACTAATTCTAATTTGGTTCATACAGTTTGAATTTTATTATTTTGAACTCCACTGACATAAAACAGCTCCTGATAAACGAACAACAAACCATTTCACAATACTCCAGATAAGAAGAACAATAATAAAATATACTAATAACACCAATGCTACCAAAGAAAGCAACATCGGCCAAACTGCTATCAAAGATCGAGTAACTGACACCTATAAAATTATCACAATAAAACCTAACACCAAACCAATAAAACAATCCTCAATGTTAAAGCTTCATCAATTATCCAACTTCTGAGTTGATGATTAAAAAAGGTTTTAAATGCTTTCAATTATTCCATAAAAAGGTTACACAAGTTGATATGCTTCCAAATGCATATATCTTCCTCAAGTTAAGCAGAATAGTCAAGGTTAGAATAATGTACAAATAAAATCTTTCGATTAACTGGATGGATCTTGGTTTATACTTTAGAATGAACACCTGATATTACTAAAACATTGTCACAACCTTGGCTTCGACATAGATGAATATCCAAACCATCTTCCTCAATAGTGTCTACAATTTTTTGTATGTTATCAACAGCCTTCTTTCTAGTAAGTGGAAAAATCCTAAAAACAATTTCTCTGGCCTCTACAATTTTCTTGAACGTACCTGATGATCTGGCTCATTTGGTCCTGATGAGATGCATCAGGTGTTGAACCAAGCATTATCCAATAGTACTTCGCCTTTTTTACATCTTCAGCAATCTTCGGCCACACGGTGTCTCTCAATGTAGAAAAAAATTCATTCGGTCAGGATTTAATGACAACATTTTAACTAGCTGAATTACTACATATTATGTGTGAATAAATAAATGAAATATTTCAGTTTTAAATTTGTGTATATCGTTTTTGTGAGGCCCCTTTTAATCGGAGGTCCGAGGCACGCTGGTGGTTGTGTCCTTACAGTGTAAGTGTTAAAAATTGCATTTTCTAAATGTGCATTGTTCAAACTTCGTTCATGCCTGATCTGAAAAAATTCAGCCTAGAATTTATCATGCAGACGATTCAAATTAAACAAACTGAAAAACTATAATAAATTTCGAATTTGAAAGTATAAAAATTGTCAGCGCACCGCATGCAGGTAAGCCGTTGAACTCATCAAAATTGAAACATTATAAACGTGCACTTAGAAAACCCAATAAACCTTACCACGAATAAAACTCTGAATACTGTGAATAATTTATTATTATTATTTTTTTTTATAAACGTAGTGGCCCAAGGTTATCAATGAATCAAATAAGTTGAATGCGCTGTGTTGGTGTGTTAATGGAATGTGGTCTAACATAGCGCAGTCGTGAGTGCTGTCGGCTTCAGATTGAAGGTTTTTTTTAGCGTAATATTAAAAACTTTCTTGGGCTCATTCCTTTGTGAGAAACATTGTGAACCTGCTACTGCTGTGGAAAGTTATATGCAAAAAAGCGTTAGAAATGTTGCAATCCAATGACTCGGTTTCCAAAACGACAAATGAGAAAGGCACACCTCTTTTAATATTTGGGATTAAAAATTAAAAAAAGGAATATATGAAAATTGAAATTAGACGTAATGAATTGACTGTGCCTGTACTACACAGCGCCGAAATTTTGATTTGTTCGTATGTAAGTGGAATTTACATGCGTGTAGCAAACATCGGGACGGATAAAAAAATATATATTTTGTAACGCTCACAATCTTATTTAGGCCGATTTGATTTTATATTCTAAATTTTAGTAACGAATTCAAAATGTTTTAATGTTCTATTAGTTTTTCAAATAATCTGAATAATCTGCAATTCATCACCCAGCCAAACAAATGTTTTTAAAATCAACGAAATATTTTTCAATTTATAGATATGAGCAACACAGGTACATTCAAAATTGACGATGATTTATTCTTTTTTCTCTTTCAAAATTTTCACAAAATTTGTAACCCAATTGTGAAAAAAATTTAATAAAGATATTTTTGTCACAAAAATGTTTAATCACAAATACAAAAGAAAAGATTTGTCAGAATAGGTTGATCACATGATGAAAATTGAATTCAATATAAGTTACGGAAATAATATTAAATATATAGCTCACTCATGAATCATAATGTTGATGTCACTGATGATAATGATTGTTGAAAATAAGTACGATGATATTGATGATGTTGTTGTGACAACGATGCTGATGTTGTTGTTGTTAATGATGATGTTTTTGTTGTTGATGATGTTGTTGTTGTTAAAGATTATGATGTTGTTGTTGATGACGATGATGCTGTTGATGATGATGATGTTGTTGTAGATGACGATGATGTTGTTGTTGACAATGATGATGATGATGATGATGTTGTTGATGACGATGATTTTGTTGATGATGATAATGTTGTTGTTGTTGTTGATGATGATGGATATAATTATGTTACATTGAAGTTTCTTTGGTGATAATGAATATGAATTGTCAATCAAGCTGATTATAACGATGATAGCGTAAGTAGTAATGATGAAAATGATTTCAGTGATGATGACCGTAAGATATTTATTTTAAAAAATATCCAGTGTGCTAGTTGATTGCGGAAAAATCCTTCTGGAAACAGTTTTCCAATTCAGAAACACATCCCTATGAAATATTACTCATATATTATATTTTTTCAATGATACTATTGCTATTTTCAATGTTGTTAATGTTAAATAATTATATCAATTAAAATTTATAATTAATTAATTATTTTTTTTATTTAACTACTGGTATTTTCCAGATAATAAAGCAATTAACATATTTTCAATTGAGTTTAATTTACACTAATTTGATGTTCAATTTAATGAAAAATTAAATCCTGTTAATTAGCTTCAAATAGTTAGTTTAATTAATTAAGCTAATCTAATTAACTAGATAATTAATTATCTAATTAAATAGAAAATTAGTAAAAACATGAAACATAAATTGATCGTAACATTAATCTCATGCGGTAAATACTAATGAATAATATATCATAACATTAGAGTAAAATTACATTACATTATAAATAATCTAATTACGGAACGAACAACCACCACTGTACATTTTCACATAATGATCACCAACGAAAAGATGTACAATGAAATTAAAAAATGCTGTTTTAGGCTATTAAAATAGCAACGGAAGTACACAATAATAATACATATGAAACTCAGAAATATTTTTAGTTTTTTATTATCAATTTATTTTATTTATTAGTTCGTGACATTGATAATTTATAATGCTTTTTAACCTAGACTCGTATTAGAACAAACGAATTGTTTTCTTTTCTTTTCAAAGGGGGGGATTGAAAGTGGACCCATGCCTGGTGTTTCTATTCACTGATTCATCTTCTCTAGATGAGTTACCGATGTATCGCTTTTCCGTGTAACTTTTTTAAATAAAATTAAGGAATTAATTTCGCAATAATCTGAAAAAAACATTTAAAAGGTGAAACTATTTTAAATAAATGGAATTAACGTGTATTAGTATATATATTTTTTAAATTAAATTTTCAATGTAAACAAAATTGAAATAACTCTAGAAGCACGAAAGTACCATAAAAACACTTCCAAAAACAAAGCAAAAGCAAATACCAATGATTGAATATAAAAAAAACACAAAAAATATAAACTTGTGAACTTTAAACTGGTGAATTTTAAACTTGTGAATTTTAAACTTGTGAATTTTAAACTTGTGAATTTTAAACTTGTGAAACTTGAACATAATAAACGGACATCCATAAACATAGGCATGGTGAACATGATGAACAGTAAAAAACTAATCACGAACAAAAACATAACTAACATAGATATAACAAACAGATTGATAACAAACCTCCAACGAAAACTTGAAAAAAAAAATCAAAATTTCACCATTAAAATTTCACGTTATAACTTTAAAGTGGTGAAAAAATATTGATAACATTATAAACAATGAAGACTTAACAAAACATGTGAGGATGCAATGCAATTTTATACGGACAAATTGTTCGTTGACTCAAAATCATCTCTCGAGTTAAACATCGACATATATCTCTCAAGAAGTTTTCCAATTTTTAAAAAAATTCATCCATACGGCTAGCACAGACAAAGTTTCAACTGAAAAAATTGTTTTGCCTTCTCACAGTCTTACCTACTTATTAAATTATGAATCAGCGATATCAAAATCGAATCGCACACCCACATCATAGACACACACACACCACACACACAAACATTTTTACACACACACACACACACACAGAGACACACACATACCACACACACACACACACACACACACACACACACACACACACACACACACACACACACACACACACACACACACACACACACACACACACACACACACACACATGAAAGACATACACATACGAATGACACACACACACGAAAGACACACACACAAACACACGAAAGACACATACACAAACACACGAAAGACACACACACAAACACACCACACACACACACACACACACACACACACACTCACACACACACATGAATTGTATCCATTATTCAAAATGACAATAAAATTTGAATATATTTACAGCGCGCTAGATTTAGATTTATCTAACAATTTATATAAAAGTTATAAATAATTAAACGAATAATTATATATATATATATATATATATATATATAATTATGTTCATTTTTTCAATATTTTAAAATCTTCAATTAAATTTACTTATCTATGGATGAAGATGTCGTTATACGAGTGCTGATGATGCATCAACATAAAATAATGTATTTGATGACGACAGTGAGAAATAAACGAGGGTGTGGTTGGTGGAAAGATGGCGGAGATGATATTCAGGAGTGGAAAGCATGAATGGAGGAAATTATCACACTACGTCGACAGAGTTCTGTTCGATGGTCAACAGTCCCGACGGCTTCTCGCTACATTTAATGCTCTTCAGCTCAACAACGTTTGTCGCTGTTTCGTAACACTCGCTCGCATTCTTCACAGAGCCATTCCTCTTTAGTTGTTCAGTTTCTCTGTAGGAGTTCCTTCTGCAGTTTACGCAGTTTAAACTGCCAAAAAATTTTTTGCAGTACGAGTCGCACATGACCAGCTTTTTGAAGGACTTTCTGAACTGTCGACTCATGAGGCAGTAGATGAAGAAATTGAGCGGGTAACTGAGGAGGATGAGGAAGTTGAGAAAGAGTGAGATAGTCTCAATGGATGCGTCGCTGATTAATGGCTTGAGTTTGCTGTTGTTGATGACTAAAATTAACAGGAAAATGGCCAATGGTATTTCCACCAAGAGGAAGATGCCCACCACAACCACCAGCATCATCGTTGTTGAATTTTTTTCTTCAAGTCGTTTGCTCTCCATCCTCATGTTTTGTTTTAAGAGTTGACTGCGCCGTTTGGCCGCCTGGTTCATGGCGTGAATGAGAACAACATTGAAAAGAACCAGCAACACGCAGGGAACCAAGTTAACTAATATGGTCCTGACGGTGTAGTGAACACTGTAGAACGTAACAACATCGAACGCAACGATGGATGCAAATGTTCCAAAACATGCCGTTGTGTTGGCATCTGCATCCACCCTGGAACTCAGCTCAATCGGGTGGTACATAATTTCTGCCATTCTAAGAGAGTGAAATGCAAGAGAAAGAAGGTACACAACGGCAATTGTTTTCAACGTTTTGTTGATTGTGCAGAATCTCTTTGCTACTGTGGGACGACAAACAAAAAGATAACGCTGGCCGGCCAAACAGACGGTCAACCAGATGGACACCGTATGAAAAATTGTTGGCAAGTGGTCTGTCAAATAAAAAAATGTGTTGCACCATTCATACGGAATGTATTCATTGTACCGGCTGGTCGAGTAAAATGCCAGATAGATCGGTAGCGGCCACAGACCAGTGACCGTATCGGATATGGCCATTGCCACAAGGAGTACATTCGTCGGACTCCTCATGGACTTCTCGCAGAGCACCACGCACACCAGGATGTTGGTGACGAGTGTGATGATGCAGATGCATGGAGAAAATGAGCCGTAGATGTATTGGGCGAGTAAACTGTCCTCGAATATTTGAGGCCCGATGCAGTGGCTGTCGAACGAATCATCGATTGTTTCGTTCTCAGGTGCCTGGATCATCTCCTGGCAAAACTGAACGGTCGAGTTGAAGTCGAAGATTGTCACGTTCGTCATTCCAGATGTTGTAGTTTTTTGGAGAAATCAATTTCGCTTTCAAAGAATGTTATCAAACTTTAAATACCTTTCGGTCCGTATAGTAAATAAACTGTTAATGTCAGAAATAAAGTTAGAGAGTACAACTTCTTGATGCGATTAACGATGCGGTGATGATGTAGACAAAATTATTCTGCGCTTACACGTCTAGCTCGCACATGTAGATATTCATTTTTAAATCTAACTTTTGTTTGACAAAAATTAATTTTCTAATTAAAAGTTATCCATTTTTGAAGTTAGTTTAAAGATATTTAAATTTGTAGCACTTGAAGATTTTGAGATTATGTTAAAACTGAGATGTTCGATTTGTAAAATGACGTTAATGATATTCTTCCCTTTCGCACACTCTCTTTACTTTCATCTGTTTTGGGAAAAAATAATAAAGTTATTATTGCAAGAATTTTTTAATATTTTTTGAATTAAGTTTTGACAACTATAGCAACCATTATTAATAAACTAATGAAAAACTATATTTTAATAACTTCATTCAAATTATAGAATCTTTTTAGAAAAAATTAAAGTAAAATATTTTCTGTATGCTGGTACGAAATAAGTATCTTTATATTAAAATTGAAAGTTCTTAGCACAGAATATTATTGGAGTTCATTTCCTCTCTCACTAGAATCCTGCTTAGCTGGCAAGCAATCTAACTTGATCGGATATGAACAAAAAGAAAAGCCAACCAAAGATGCAACTAGCAACTACATTCAAGCAGAAGTTTAGAAGTTTAATGCACTCTTATTCTCGAATCGTCAGTAAATTGAAAAAAACGGGATGGTTTTATTAAGTTGAGAGATTGAACTTCCATTCATCTGAAGGAAATTAACTTTGAAACGAGAGTCATAAACCACATAAAATTGCAATTAATGGCAAACGTTTCATTACTGTGCAGCCTTACATCAGCTAATGATATGAACCACTCTTAACAAACAGCTCTAGATTGTTCATTTTTGAAAAATTTTGATATCCCATCATATATTCAGCAAGTGAGCGTGTGTGACAGTTGCAGCAAAACCAACATCTGTATCAAAAAGCCAGGTAAGTTAAGGCCTACTTTTTTTTTTATAAAGCTGTGTTCAACAAATGTTGTTTTCTTTGCTTAACTTTAAATAAGAATTTATAGATGGAGTTATATCTTTCTGGTTGCATCTGGATATGCTTGAGTATGTGTGTAGGTATGTATGTATGCAGTGAAGGATCTATAGACGTTAATAATGGGGAGGGCCTAAGTTTTAAAAATGATTCAACGTTGCCCGAGGTGGGGAAATGCCATCCTCCCCCACCTAAATCTGCCACTGTATGTGTGTGCTAGTAAATATATTTATTTCTTTGAACACTCGTTTGTAGTCGCATTATGTGTGTATATGTATATATGTGTGTGTGTGCGTGTATGTGTGCGTGTATGTATGTGTGTATGTGTATGCATATCTATACATGTAAATATAATTGTTTCATCACTGGTTTATATTGGCAATTGATACATATATCACACGAGTCAACCATAGATAAGCATCAACGATTGCCATGTTGACTCTCTTTCACACTTTTTTCATATTGCTTAAAAATAAAATGGATAACATAAAAATATTAATAATCTTTGATATTTTAATGTTTACGAGTCATTCATTGTCGCCAGTTAGCTCACACGGTAAGAGTGTCGCGCTGTTAGTACGCTAAGGCCTGGTTCGAATACTGTCTGACCAAATTTCAGACTATTATGAGTCATGCGCGTATGATGCCGTGCTTACACGTGCATATATAATGTAAAAAGTACAGCTTTTGTGCAGTGGAGCAAAAGTTCAATGCATGGAATAAAAACATGCAAACAATTCTGCTTTTTTTCAGAGCTTCTTTCTTCATAAAGAACAAGACATATTTCGTGAGTTCGTGTCTTTGTGTGGATATATGGGCGCGTTTCACTTTTGGCTGCAATATCCCAAATGAATATTCTAACTCCGCAAAGATATCTCACATGAATGAGTGAACAAGTAAATATCATGTTCATGCAGGCGTAAGATAGTTTTGGAACATCTTTCAACCGTAAAGTTTGTTTTTATTTTCAAATTTTTTTTTATTTGTTGTTTAATACTAAAATGAGACTTTTGTAACACTGATATTGAACTGTAGTTTTTTTTTCAAAAGTAAACGCGTAACAGAATTAATTCTTTTAATTTTTTGACACCGAGATGTGACGTTCTATAAACTGTCGTCACTCAAATACATGGGCGTGCATGAAGACATTAAATCTGCTAATTTAACATTTATCACAGAATCGTAACAAATGCTGAAATGGGCATAAAATAAATCGCAAATTAAAAACTTTTTAATTTTTCAATGTATTTTAACAAAGCTTTTAATTTAATAATTGTATGCTTTTTGAAGTATTTTTGAGTAAATAAATGTTGCATTTGAATGTAAATTATTCTCAATTGATATCTGGAAAAAAGTTTTGGTATTTAAATTAAAATCAGAGAATATATATCCAGTTTATACTTACATTTAGTTTAGAAAATTGTTAAAATTCCGTACGCTTTACAACTGAAATAATTTTTTTTCCAAATTAGTCATACAATTATATCCTAATCAAAATAAAAAATTCTCTTGATTTAATTTGAGGACTTTGTACCTGCGGGCAAAAAAAACTTTTGATAGGAATGATCAACCGATTTGAAATCGACAATCATTGAGAAGCAAATATAAATGTCATAAGTGGGAGCATCATATTGCACATCCAATAAAATATCTCTCATTTAAATTCCTCTTAAATTTCAATTCTCATTTTCTTACTTTTCATACATCAATTTTTCCACCATCAAACCTAAAAACGAATTTGCAGATAAACAACTGAATACAAATCTATTGTCATATTTGCATATTTGAGTTACTACATTAACGTAATATTTCATATTTGTACAATTTACGTAAATGTTCATCATATTATTACGAACATTTTGTTTTTCACATAACTATTTATATATGACGTCATCGTTCGGGAGCAAAACGTTTACACTCTGACGCCATCAATCACTTACAACTCAATAGCTCATGACAGCCCGTAAGACCTAACACATTCACCCATTCAGCCTTCATTCATTTTGTTTTCGTATAATTGATAACATGAATGCTCTGCTCTATCTTCTTTGTTAGATACCACACACACAAACACACCACACGCACACACACACCACACACACCCACATATACTACACACACACACACACACACACACACACACACACACCTCAAACAATTATTTCAATGAGTTATTTTTTAAAACTTAAAACGAGTATTTATAAAACTTGATAACAAAATAATTATAAAACTACAACAAGTAGAGAATGTGTACTTGTATCATTTTCACCATGCAAACCAACCGCGCAACCAAACAGCCATAGAAATTGTTTAATAAGTTTATGAACTGGAGTCAAAAGTTCTAGAGAAAAAATTATATAAAACAAAAACTTGGCAAATTCTTTCAAAATAGATGCTTTGCAATAAAATATTTTTCTAGCTAATCTTCATCATCTTCTTGTTCTTTACACACCTGCGTTTGGAATAAATGGGTCCACGAAATATATGTAAAGTCCTTTTTTTTTCTTACATCTGGATCAGTTAATTAATTTAAAGGCATTACTCAAACTAGGAAGATGTTTAACATATTATTATCGTCAAACATTTTTTTAACTTTATCCAGTGATTTATAACACAAATGTTTATATAATTCATCGTTATCATTACCAGCATCACCACCCTTACCATATTTATCATCATCATCATCGTCATCATCATCATCGTCATCATCACCGTCATTATAAACTCTGACCCCATCACGTTTTACATCACAATCTCCATCAGATCATCACTTGTGATGATCTGATGATTTAATGGTGATGCCCAATCATGAATCTGCCCTTATTTTAGAATCACCACACATCGACCAATTACGACACAGACTATCGTTACGTTTCAAATCTACAAATTTTAAAATTTTTCATACAAATCCAGATTGAAAGATAAATCAAGTTACTAATTTTAAAATTATCAACTTTAAGCTTTACTAAAATTGAAAATTTTAGTAAAATTTTTAATGTTAATGTTTATATATAATTCATCATTTTTACTACCAACACCATCATAAAGTACAATTTCTTAAAAATTAAGTCAAGTATAGTAATTCTGATTAAAATTTTATGTAAAAATTAATTTTTCAACTGAAAATTTTCAAAAGTCATTTTTTCATTATGAAAAAAAATTTTTATCGACCACCACGCAATCTGAAAATACGTGACAGAATTAAAACAAGTTGCGAGGCATTTTGAACATTCTCCTAGCATTTAGTAAGATCCATCATTATTTAAAGAATAGTGGTTGCGTTGGCAGGCGACTTAAACGCCACGTTAACGACTTCAAGTGGCTACTACTCACCACACTGCATGCAGAGCCACAGCCAGCATCATCCATTATTCCATTTCCTTTTTTCGACTATCTGGTAGCCAAATTTTTCTCTGTTGTAATTAAAAATAGTAGTTTGTTTCGGTTACATTAAATATGTACTACTAACTTGACCACGGAACGCTCATCAATCATGATTCTTGCCTGTTCATTATTACACTTTCAAAAAAAACTTTCATTATTAATGCTCCTTTTTTCTTTTATTAATTTTTTGATGACATTTTGAAAAATATTAATTACTGTGGTCAAAGTAAAATGACAAGGCACGTGCTCTGAAAAAAGTCCAAATTACTACATATAACTTAAAAACATGATTAGTTACGACGATTCTTAAATCTTGGACCTATTAGAGAACAGTAGAATCACAAACACTAACCCAACTTTGATAAATTAATTCTTTAAAAGTTGTGAAATTATTTTTGTTTTAAGATTAAAATCAGACTTAACAGTCATGTTCCTCATCTGCAAAGCTATTCAGAGACATTGCCAGGGCGGGCGGTTTTAGGACCGAATTCCTCCATTTGCAATTATCTTTGTTTGGTTTAAGGTTAAGTTTAACAAAACTCTTATGAAAATTTAAACTAAAAATTGAGTCAGCTTTAAAAAAAAATCGTTTGGCAAGCAAATTTTTGTAAAATTACTGAATTTTTTAAAGTAATAGTAAAAGAAATAGAAAGAAGCAAATAAATTGCAAGTGCAACCAACATTTTTTTTACGTATTCAAAGTCTTTCCACAAAATGCTTGTCCAGTCTCCAGAACGTTATCAATATCCTCACAATAATGATAATCACTCACCCTGAAATCATTAGAGTCTCAATGGTGGCACGTAACGTTATCTACTTTGTAATTTTTTGGCCATCATACAGACCGGCTATCATGCATCGTCTGCTCGTACGTTCATCAAAGAACAATAACAACAACATCAACTACAACAACAACAACGTCACTAACAACAAAAACAACATTAACAATGACAACGTCAACAACAACGTCATCAATAACAACAATATCAACATCAACAATATCAATATCAACAACAACATCAACAGCAACAACATCATCAATAACAACATCAACAACAACATCAACAACAACATCAACAACAACAACATCAACAACAACATCAACAACAACAACATCAACAACAACATCAACAACAACAATAGCAAAAGGAAAGAGAGTGGCTGGAACGATGGCTGGATGTGCCAATAAATTCGATGCTTCCCACTATTTCATCAATCATTTTGACAACTACTTAATCGCTTCTTTATTGTTATTATTTTTGAAATTATTATTATTATTACTGTTATTGTTGTTGTTGTTATTATTATTACTATTACTATTGTTAGTATTATTTTTCTATTGTTATTATTATTATTATTGTTATTGCGGCTGTCGTTGAAGAAGAGAGTTCTATTCGCAGAGCACACAGTTTCTATTGCAATAATAGTGTTTTTTCGAAGTTTTACTATTTAAATCTGGTTTCAAATCATTTCGCAAATTTCATGAAATATGACTCCTGTTTTAATTTCAAATTTCAAAAAAAAACTCAATTTTATAAATATATTATTTTGCAATTGCCAACCAACGTCAATCTGTGTTCAGATAGGGGAAAGACACAATGTCCATGTCCACTGTGCGACGCAAAGCAAACTAGCAAACATGTTGTGTCCAACTGTGGATGGATTTCTGCGCTGGCAAGATATACAGAACAGTATAATAAAATTCTACCTGAGATCGTTAATTGGTTAAAGACATGCTGCCAGGAGGATTCCCTGATATTCGCTGATATTGAGTCAGAGGGGGTTCAACTAATCTCGCAACCGTTCAACTCCATCCGTCCAGACGTCGCCATTCTGCGCAACCGCAAAATTGAAATTATCTAGTTAACAGTGTGTCATGAAACAAATCTGCTAAAATCAAGAAACTACAAATTATTGAGGTACAAAAATAGTTTGAATTCATGTTTGAACGCTGACTTTAAGAACTGTTTAATTTTTCCAAAAACATTTGAGATAACTCAGATTGGATTTTTCAATACTTTAAATATGAAGCTAATTAAAAATTTATGGACGATTTCATTTATTAACAAATTAATAAACTCTGTAATTAGATCGACCTATCCTATGCCATTTATTGCGATAGGAACACTTCATTACTAATTTGAATATAATACCGTTTTGCACTTGCCCTGGATAATGAGCGTTGTGGTTTTTATTGAACATTATTACATTTTTCAATAACTTTTTTTGGGGGGAAATAATAGAGTTTCCATTATTATTATTTATCACACTCAGACTGATATTGTTATTATTAATGATATTAATTTGTAATTACTATCATTACATGGCTTTTTTTGTCATTCTATCATTAGTGTCTTTATTGTCATAATATTTTTCTTCTTCTTCTTTTTCTTCTTCCTCTTCTTATCCCTTTACATCTTTTTCTTTCTCTTCTTCTTCTTATTCTTCTTCTTTTTCTTCTTCTTCTTCTTTTTCTTCTTCTTCTTTTTTTCTTCTTCTTCTTGTTATTATTGTATTGTAATTATTGTATTGTCGCCCCTCCCGCTTCTATAGTTGTTTTTATTAGACTTATAGGATTTCATGTCCAATAATAATCATATTTTATGGAACAGTTTTGATGGCTATATTGAAACAAACACATTGCATATTTGTATGTAATATAGACTGGGACAATGCATGTCTACTAAGTCTGACTGCACTGCTGACTCCACTAATAGCTGTGATTATTATTATAGTTAGTAATATTATTATTTTTATTATAATTTTTGTAATTATTTTTTCTTCACCGATAACTTTTCATAGCGCCATATAACAGTACTTTAATTAATAACAATTATATATAATTCTCAAGTCAACCTGAACATGATGTTAGCTATTTTACGCTTAAGACCAGAAAGCTATTATTTGTTATAAAATTATAACCTTTCATTCTAATTTATGTAAAACTTTAATATGAATTGTTAGAATTCTGTCTCTTATATTTATTAAAAAAAGCTACGATTAACGGTAGAAAATTTAAAAAAATACGATTTTTCAGTAATTCTTTCACATTTTCCACCAACCGACCAATCCATCATACGAAGACACTTTCATCCTCAAGGAATGCTTCCATCCACCTACATATTCATAAGACGACCATTATTTGATGGATGGCTGGTCATAAGGCAGGTGATGTTTTAGAAGTTGAAACTTCAAATAAATACATTTTAAATTTTATTTAAAAGTGAATTTATACGCAACGCACACGTAAAAACTCTATTTTTAGCAGGTTTATAGGATGTGTACAAAATACGTACACGGGCAAATAACATTTTCATTAAGAGTTTAAAATAGATGGTTAAATAATGTCTACAATTTTGTCTAAAATAAATTTCAAAATTATTTATTGATCAGCAGGGTTATTTAAGTTATTTTTTTGCACGTGTAAATAAGCTCTCTGTTGTTTTAATTTCCATTTACTTTTTCATTTAACGTAAGTTTAGTTTATTGTTTCTTTGTGTCTGTTTTTTTTGTATCTGTTTCTATGTATCTTTGAATGTATTTGTAAGTTTAGTTTATTGTTTCTTTGTATCTGTTTCTTTGTATCTTTGAATGTATCTGTCACCGGCGTCTAGATGAGAATACACACTGATTTTTATCTTATTTTCAGATAGAAAGTTAAACAATGTCTACAAATTTATTTATTAATAGATTCCGCTTAGAGATTAGATAGGTGAGGATAGTTAAAGATGGGTTATGTAGGTTTTGTACGTTATGTAGGTAAAGATGGATTAGCTAAGTTAGATACGTTACTCTCATTTGCACAGAAGAAATCATTTCAGAGAAAACAAAATTTGAAGCTTCGTTAAACTTTTTTATTTTGTTTTTCAACTTCTCTGTTTAATGCAATGTTTTACTAATTGTTTCTTTGAAAACATGCTGCTCTTTCAATGGAAAATGAGAGAACATGTTAACTTTATCATGAAGCAACTAATATATAACATACCTAGTTCAATGTTTTAAACATGTTAACAGTGAATTTTAATTTGCCTTTGGTGGCGAAATTTTGTTTAAAACATTTTCAAAGTTTGATTATGAGACGGTTTATAAATTAATAATGTCACATAGTTAAATAATTAATATATTTTCATTCAAATAGCAGAAAAAAAGTTTCGTTGAATACTTTTCCCAACTATAATTAATCACAAAAAACTTTATTGATATTGCTAACCAGAACGTAAATGGAGAGAGAGAGAACTGACAGAGATTTCATAGTCCAACTCGACTTATCAGCAGTTTACATGCGTACATTCAATCTTCCAGAGCCAAACAAAGGTCAGGCAATTATGAATAACTACATTCACATCAATGCTGAACATTTATGCCGCAAGGATCTAGTATATTTATAATAACATACACGGCCGCATATATATGCACACATACACACGCACAAACACACATATATATCCGTTTACATATCTAAGGATTTGTGGAGTGCACCTATTGAATAACTTCAGAAGTGCTTGGTAATGTCAAAACAAATTTATATATATATATATATATATATATATATATGTATATATGGTAACAAATTATTTTCATTGATCAAACAATCCATCAAATATCTTGCCTCTACAGCTCTATGAGATCCTTTACAACAAAATTTAATTTATTTAATATCAGCCGTCAGTTGCAAATATTTTTCGAATCGAAGACGCCATTCTTGGAGGAGATAAGTTTTTCTCATTCTAACTTTTAACTTGGATGCCATTCTACATGGTAGCAAGGATGTTCTTTCTTTGCAATCTGATGTTACGCTCATGATTTTATTTTATTTTAGTTACTTTCTAAATTAGTTCAATTTAAACTTGAGGGCCCCTAGTATATTGCATCTATTAGTAAGGTTGCATATAATTTCATTTTTTATGAAATAAAACAATTTATAATTAAAAAATTAAAATAATAAGGAATTTTTTCAGGGTTTTTGCTAGATTTTCATAATATTCTTGCTATATTTTTTAAATTAACGCTTAAATTAGCTTTAGTGTAACTAACTTTTAAAAATAAATACTGCCAATATTAGCCAAAAGATCGTAGCAAGAAACAAAAATGTTCCATCTTTTACTTTCCAAACGGTTTCGTCCGCTCTGACGTCTCCATCCAATACGACATCAATTGACGCGTGCTTATGGAGTTTCCAAAATGTTCCATATCTCCAGTTTGAATTTTACAGTTTTTTTTAATCTTTGAGTAAAAAAAGAATATTTAAACCCATCTCATTCAATAATGATAATTTCATTTGGTAAGTTCCATTCATTATTTAATTTTAACTTTTGTATATTTGTTTTACGATATCGTTCTTATCCTAACATCAAAACCTAACACTCTTCCCACATTTCAATAATATAACATGCCATGTTCTCAAATTATGTTTTATCCCCACCAGCCAAGCACAAGTTTTTCTCGACACTCCTTTCTCATTGTTTCTTCACAGAGCGTTGCTTAGATTTGTTCAACAGGAACAAACTAAGAGAAAATTTAAAGTTATACAACGACATTAAAATATCTTCGTTTTTAATCAATAAGGGTCAGGTGATAAAGAGAAAATGTTCAATTCCTCTCCTTGCCTGCAGGCCAACTGGCCGCCAAGTGTTTGGCTCGATTAAGCGGCTTTCCATTTTCATTCTCGTCTGAATGGACAAATTAAATTAAGGTTGTTTAGTAGGATTTAATTCGATTTCGTTCTCAAAAGTTTGGTGGCACTTTTAACCGATTTCGACTCTTTATTCAATTTCACAGATTTGTGCGAGTTTGTACTTACATGTAAGAATGTAACAACGTATATCAATGCATTTTACTGAAGCTAGCTAAATAAAGATATTGTCAAATATATACAGATTTACAGATTATATATCTGTAACATTGTAAGTGATTCTGCGTATGTCAGAGCTTCAATAATAAAGACTAAAAAAAATATTCCAATAAGAAAAAAAGATCCTAACTGGCAAATTATCATCGAAAAAACAAGGTACACACATAATTATCCCATCCCATGGTTCATTTTATCTCCAAACGTTAACTGCATTGATAGCGTAGTTTAAAACTAATGAAGACCATCTGAAATGAAAATTTATTATTTAGTCATAATTGATTTTTTTTTAAATGTATTTTTTGGTCCTTACTCTGGACAATGGGATGGAAATTTTAAAG